ATAGGAAACAAATATTTCTAAAAGTACAAAGTATGCCCTCAGTGTTACACAGGACACTTATACTGTCACAATGCTTATTGTTTTTCTGAAACTCAAATTTAAGTCTGGCCTTGATCTGTTAAATCTGGAAGCTTTTTGACAGATGTACCAAGATTCTCAAATGAGAGAAGATTTCTATTATGAAAGTGGTAAAGCAGAGCCTAGGAGCACTTTACTTTGGGGAGCTGGGATGATGTTTCTTAGGGTTTGTGAGAAAAGGAAGGAGTACTCCCTTCCTGGAATTCTCTGGGGGAAGAGCTGTATGACAGAGAGTGGCTTTGTTAATTCACATTTAATTCAAATCAAAGGAAGGAATCAGTATCATCGGAAGCTTGAAAGAGTCAGGGAATTTAGTTATGAGAAACTCTGAGGTCCAGAAGACACTGAGGGGAGGAATTAGGAGAGAACAGAGGGATCTGTGGCATAGGAAAACTTCTGCCATTACTGAAAGATTATTGTTTCTTTTGTTTTAGAAACAGATGAGGTCAGTAGGTGGGTCATTATTGTTATTTTTTCACATGTATTTATGTGGGCATGCATCAGCTACACACAGCTAATGTGTTGAAGTCAGATGACAGCTTGTGGAAGCAGGTTCTAGTCCTCCACTGTAAGGATCCCTGGACAGAATGAAGGTCATCAGGCTCTATGACAAGTTTCTTTACTGGTTGAGCCACCATGTTAGCCCTGGGCTATTCTTTCCCTCCCTCCCTCCCTCCCTCCTCCCTCCCTTCTTCCCTCCCTCCCTCCCCCTCCCTCCCTGTCTTCCTTCCTACAAGGTCACACTATGTAGCCCCAGCTGGGTGGGAACTCACTATATAGACCAGGCTGGCCTCGAACTCTCAGAGCTTAGCCTGCCTCTGTCTCCTAACAACTTGGGCTATTGTTATCGAAGAAGATTTCACAAGGATTTATGCAACAATTCCCTAGATCATCCAGGACAGATGAAGGCTAGTGTTGTTAAAATTGCCTCTGAGTGAAGGAGTCAGTTCCTTTTCCCAGGGTCCGTTAGCCATGGAGTTAAGGAGTTGCCATTGAAGGGGCTGGAGAGATGGCTCAGTGCTTAAGAACACTGGATGCTCTTCCAGAGGTCCTGAGTTCAATTCCCAGAAACCACATGGTGCTCACAACCATCTGTAATTGGATTTGGTGTCCTCTTCTGGCATGCGGGTAAACATGCAGAATATTCATACATAAAATATAGATAAATAAAAAAATTAAAAAAAGAAGTTTCCATTGACTTTAAAAACTTCAGTTTCTCCCCCAAGGAAATCATCAAAAGGGGTCCTCTCTCCCCAAGAGTGGAATGGCAGAAGTGTGACTGAAGTTAACAGGTGTGTTCAATATGTTCTGGGGAATCTGTCTCTTTCAAATAATTAAAAATGGGCAAGATCATCTCAGATCCATCACAAGACAAAAAATGAACACAAACATCCATGAAAAAGTGATTGACATTGGTGTTCCACAAAGACAGTGCAAAACAAACCCCAAGGAGACACTACCACACATTCACTAGAATAGCTAAAACATTGAAAGCTCCCAACATCTCATTTGTCACTTGGTGTATAGACCAACCAGAGCTTTCCTGCACAGTTGTGCAAACTCGTAGTCTCATGGAGTTAAGCACACACCTGCCCCTTGACCTAGCTGTTCTACTCTTAAATATTAAACACATGTGCAAACAAAAAATCAAGCAAAAATACATGTATAAGAGTATTTGTAGAAGCTTTACATTGGGGGAGGGGAATAAATTTGGCATATTTACACAACAGAATGCTTCAACTTCTGACACACATGACATTTTGCATGAGTCTCAGAGACATACTGGAGACAGAAATCAGTAACTAAAGAGCACAAATACTGTACACTCCCATTTCTATGATGTTCTAGAAGTAGCTAAGAAGCAGCTAAGCTGACAAAGCTCAGAACAGTGCAGAGCAGGTATGGGGAAAGCAATTAGAAGACGCTCAGGGGAGTCTATGTACCTGGAGGAACATAGTGATACCTCTGTGAGACGGGAGAAAACTGGTGAAAGGGAAGTTTGGGCTTTTTCCTCACACATTCATCCTCCAGCCGATGGCTTGGTGTGGAAGATCTGCAGGCTGAGAGTGATATGAGTGGCTAAGATAAGTGGGCAGAATATGTTTTTTTCTGGCAGTAGAGTCCAAAGTGCCTGAAATGAATCCCTTAATGGGAGGAATTGTAAGGTGAAGGAGTGAATCATTGCTCTGAAGATGACTGGCTATGACTACCCTTGTGGTTCCAGAAGCTCTTTCTCCCCTAGTCCCGAGGGACTAGAGCATATTCTCCTCAACTTCCTGTGCTGTTTAGCATTGACTCAGAACTTTGCTAAATGGGTAAATAAATAGAGGAGTCTGGGCAGGATCGGATAGGGCTTTGTAGGTGTCTGCAAGACAGTTTACTCAGAGTTGGTTTTCTATCCAGTTTGGTTCGAGCCATTGAGGGTTGAAACCTGGCTGAGTTTGTATTGCTAGATCACTGTTCCTTCCCTCAGGCCTGTTGTAAACCATCGCCTGCCACCTTAGAGCAGCTGGCATAGTGACAGTTGAGAAGCAGCTGAGGACCTGGAGGTGGGAGGTAGGACAAACCTACATCCCCTGCCTTGCCCTTCCTAGCAAGGCTCTCACCTCACTAAGACTGCCTCCTGGTGGCCGAGGTTTATACCAGAATCCATGTCAAAAGATACTACCACTCACTCTCCCTTTCATGGTACACCAGGGATGTGCTGTTTTGCTTTACCAAGTCCTTCTAGTTTATCACCCCCAGCCCCATTTCACAGATGAGAAACTGAAGATCAGAGAGTGTTGAACAATTAGATGAGTGGAAAGATAAAGTTGAAATGTGGGTTTGGGTGTCTGTGGCTCCAGAGCCCAAGTTCAGATTGATGCTACTCTCTGGGTAGCACTTTTATTTTTCATTTTCAAATCGAGGGAATAGTGAGAAATAGTGAGAAGGGGGGACATGTTAATTGGAGCACAGTCAATGAACAGAATTGCCTTGGTGGGCGTTTGGGTGAGGAGTGGGAGGGGGGACTGTGAGGAGCTGAGGAGCCATGGGATGAGATGGTACGTCCTGAGCTGGGGCCAGTGGGGCAGTAAGAGGCCTGTGGCAGAGTGGCCACAAAGTCACCGCCATCACCATGGAGGATACAGTGTCTGGCATCTGGTGCTTTTTTTACCTGGAGAGTCTCCTAATCCTCATAGCACTGGTTGAGGGGGGGTACAGTTAACATCATTCCCATTTTACAGATTAAGAAACTGAGGCTTCCAGATGCTTGACCTCAAATTCTGGTATGTTATATTCTTTCTAGGGGATGGGACTTGACTTTTTCTTCTTCACCATCTTCTTTTCTAGAGCCCTTTCTCTCTGAAGCTGCCTGCCTTTGCTTGGAATTCACTCCCCAGCTGTCTCATGGTGCCACTGCTTTCATCTGAATGAGCTGAAATGTGGGATCGGTATAAATGGGGTTCTCATAGCCATCTAGTAAATGCAAGGACAAAGTGGTTAGCTGAATTTGATTTCCAATCAACGATAGCTACTTTTTAGCATTAAAAGATCTAATGCTGATTTGGATATCACATACCCCAAATGCATCCATTATTTACTGAAAATTCGAGCGGAACTGGGTGCCCCATGCATAACACATTTAGCTACCTTAATGCTAAAAGAGGCCCCACTGTGTTGCTTCATCCAGGCCTGGAGTTATCTGACTCCTCTGTCCCTCCTCCCCAGACCCTTCCACCTACAGAGCTCTGATAGGAACTGGGCTATTCTGGGAATTGCAAGAGAGGAGAGGGCACAGATGACCTCAGAGTAGGGAGGCTGGCCCGGCCAGTAGACTGGTAGCGAGAGCAGAAGGCTTTGCACAGGCTTTGCATAGTGGAATGGCCATGGTTTCATATCCCTGACCCAGTGTGGGTGGGAAGTAGATCTCTGTCTCTCCCTGAATTTCTGCCATCACCCTGCTCAGCTCCAACTGTTTGACGCCCATCCCCAGGGGCTTTATCTCCTCTTGCTGTACTGCCCCACTCCCAGGAGTTCGTTTGGTGATGTCTACTCCCCTGATAAGGTGTGTGTGGCCCTGTGCCTGGCTCTGTAGTGTAGAGACTGGAGAGTGTGGAATATGTTGCTGCTGTCAACATGGCCTCGCCACCACCATCTGTCCCCAGCTCACAGCACTCTCAGGAAGGGGACTTTCTTCTCTAAGGTCAGAGCTATCTGGAGGGTGCTACTCACCTTCCTCTTCAGGCCACACAACTGATGCATGGGCCCTGTGGGGCTATAGGGTGGAAAACAGCTCAGGGGATAAGTGTGATTACATTTGGCTTTACTGAGGGGCAGAGTCCCCATGTCCCTCCTCTGCCTGAGCGAGCCATGTCTTTGTCTGGGTTTTTATGTACCTGTCTTGTTCCCTCCTTTCTGAAATGAAGACTGCCCAAGCCAGGGTACTCAACCTTGTTTCCCTGGCACCTGCCCAGGGTGCCGGCCACACCTGCAGGAAGAAGGGACAGATCTGCAGCTGCTGAGGTTAGATATACGATGCCCAGGGGACAGGCAGTAGCTCCCCCCACCCCAGGACTCTGGGGTCTATGGGTGTCTTTGCAATTTGGCACTTTTGATCTTGCCAGGATAGAGGGTCCCTGCTCATTCCTTCCCTTTAATGGCTTCCAAGGATGGAAGGTTAGGAGTTCCCCAAGCACATGGTATCTTTTTCCAGGTGTACAGTAAGAGGCACCCAGCTCACCCTGCTTCTGCCTGTCTTTCAGGGCTACCCCAGCAGCCTGCTTGAAGCTGCCTTCATCCCATCTCGTCTCTGATATTCACACTGCCTTCCAACTCTACTTCAGAGACTCAACATACTCTAAGGCAAACTTCAAACCTTCCTTCTTCCAGGAAGACACAAAAAAAGGGCTGGGGTAGGGGATTGTCTTTTCTGTACTTACTGTGCACAGTGTCCCGGGGGAAGACGGGGAACCTGGGACTCAGTCGGCACTCGCGCAGGGAAGAAGGTGGCAATGAATTTCTGCTCAAGTCCTGCATCCCAGCTGGAGAAAGCCACCCTGGCCACATCCAGAGTCAGTGTGCTGCAAACCCTAGCCACTGAGCAGGCTCCAGCGGCAGGGATGAGCTCACCAGGATGTGGCCTAATGGGTTAACTCTTTGCAAGCTGTTGGCACAGGCACTTGAATGTGGCTTTCTCAGCTCTGCTCAGCCACTATTAGATAAATCTTGTGAAAAATTAATGAGGCTTTTCTGCAGTGTGCCTTTGAGTTTTGGTGGAAGTGTGTACTTGGCTGGTGGTAGATGGGCAGGATGACTCCTGACCTTGGCTCAGCAGGCCTTGGAGGTGCTGGGTTGGTGGAGGCTTAAGGTGCTGGTGCTAGGTTATCTGTTATACCTGGTTCAGAGGCTGGGGAAGCTGTGTTTGGGGGAGGATTGATGAGCTCTGGGCCTCTCTACCTGTGTTGGATGTTGGCAGAGTATGTGTAGAGTTAGGGAACAGGCTTGGCTCCAAGATGAGAGGAATGCCTCTGGGAACAGTTCTCACATGCATG